TTTTAGAGTGTCTGCAGGAGACTGATAAGAAACATGGTAGGAGAAAAGCAAACTGCCTAGGGGCAGGGGGGGTGGGTTGTTTGGGTTTTTTCCTGGGCATTTTCTGTGGTGGGCTTGCACCATTGAAAGTAGTAAACAATCTGATTGCTTTAGTGCCTACCCTAATTTCTCCTTTCTGCCCTTGCAGAGCCCTTCCAGAACACTCAAGACTCAAATCCATCGCCATAGGTTTTAAAAGCATCTGGGGGCTTTATATGCTTATGTATTCAGGAACACAAGGTGAAATTACTTGAAGGTGCCTGTTTTTAACAAAATTTTCAGATACCTTCCAAGACAGCTTCCACTCTACCAGCTCTTCCAGCTGAATTCCCTGACCAGTCACCCTCATCCTTCTGAGGTATCTTAAAAGCATACATGGACAGAGATTACAAGAAAAGCACCCCAAAAGGCAGTCATGACAACCTTAAAATGTTTTAAGTTGAACCCTCAAGATCAAGAGTCTTACTGATAGCCTTAGCCCTAGACTTTTTCAGTACTTCACAGAGTCAAGATAAAAGCAACAAAATGTCAGGATAAGTCAAGCTTTGAGGAAGTATATATGACAAGCCCCTGGTTATCTTGAACCTGCAGTTTTCAAGAAGAAATACTGTCTTTGGTTTGATTTACATTAACAGCACATGGCAGAGAACTATTGGGAGTATCTAAATGATGAAGTTGTGCTAACACACAAAGAAACCTTTTTTACTGTAATTTTAACAGCATTTTAATTTATTTGACTTTAGAAATAAGCAATTAAAACTGTATTGTTAAGGGAAATATAAAATGTATATAGATAATAACATATAATCAATGCTTGTCCATATTGGTTCAAGCAGCCTATACTTTAGGGAATTGTCTGAAATAAATAGAAGCCACTATATCAGGGCTTTCAGAATTACGTAACTAGCAGTTTGACTTACCTGTTAGATGTAACAGAAACAAGGTGGTGTTCTGTTTTCTGTAGATGATATATAGAAAAGTAATATAGAACTACAAAAAAAGTAGTGTCCATCCAGGTAAATCAGACGTGGAAGAACCATCCTACACACGTTCTCCCACTTTCAGTGACAATTTGTTTTGTTTTCATTCTTGTCATTTTTATTTTTCCTTAGTCTGAAAGAAAAATAATTTTGATTTTAAAGGCAACATTTATGGGGTTTCCTTTGTGTGTGACCTTAAGTGAACTTCAGTATGGACTTCAAGAAGATGATAAGGGTAAGATAGACAGATAGAGAGAAAGACATACATACATATGCATATATGTTTTCTAATCTGCTCAGCCATTCAGTTCAAAAACAACAGGTAAAAATATTCTGCTGAAGTTACCTGCCATTAATTTCTCCCCTCACTTCCAAATGTGAGAGCTGGGGAACAGCCATTTTCATTCCACATGTCTATGCAGAAATGTGGCCTTTGAGACTGTGCTGTCCTGTGCCAAACACAGTGGGTGAGCATGTTCACCAGACAGCAGCTGGCTACTTCAGTGCCTGAAAATTTAGGGAGCTCAGGAGAAAGAACCAGAGCAGGCAGCCCCCTTCAACACTGAGTTCTTTCAGTTCCCATTCAAGTGGTTTCCCATCCGAGCAGATTGTGCCAGCATTGAATGCTTTTGGCAAGTCAAACCTGCTGGGCTCACTTGCTCTGACAGGAAGTCTCAGCTGATTTTTTTGCCATTCAGTCCCAAAAGATCACTGCAAAGCCTCTTGGCAAGGCCAGATACTTCATTCTGAAACACATTGTAACCTACAGGCAGCAAAACACTTCAGGTCACAGTCAACTGGACTGATCTTCCATGGTTAGCTAGGTCTAATAGCCTCTGCTCAAGGCGCTCTTAGGCATTGTAGTTTTGTCTTGAGAACTTTCCAGTAAGTGTGAATCTTTTTAAAGATTGAATGTAATACTGTGTAGGCTTGAGCTAGAAGGATCTCTAGGTTATGTTTTGGTTGGTTGTACATCCATGTATCAGAGCACAATAATTCTTCTGTGATTAGCTGCTCTTAGTCCTTCTTAGCTTCAGGACTGAGCACTGCTGTCTACCAGCATTTGCCTACACCCAGGGTTGGAGGCAGAACACCACCCTAGAGACTTACTGACTGTGGGTCATCATTCTTTAGTTTTCCATTAAGGTTTTATCTACCTAAGAAAGAATCTGTCTTTAAAGTGGAGAGTAGGGAATTTTATAGAAAGTCAACAATCTTCCCCAGGTCTGATGTATTCAGTGTTGTTTACTGTGCACCCAGTCATCTGTAATGGGATAGAAAGGCATGGGAAACTTCTCCTGCCTGTGCTTGTGAATGCTCTGCGTTGCTTGCCAGCATAAAGTTGGAGACTTTCAGGCCCAGTGAGTCCATCCTGATATTCACAGGAGTGTCACCAAGTTCTTTCTGCCCTTTATCCTGAGTGAGTTCTGTGCTATTTTGTGGCACTGATGGTCAGCAGGGGAGATGTACCCACAGAAAGCTTGGTTGCTCTTTGCCTCTCTTTTTGGCTGTCATTGCCAGAGAGGTCCCTTTTCCAAAGACAGTCCAAAAAGAATCTTATTGCAGGGTGCTCAGTAATGCATGGCAGCAAAACAAACTGTAGAGGGATGGGATGTGCCTTTGTCTGCACACAAGTGAAGGGGGTGGGAGGAAAATACAATAGGATGAGCCAAATTCTTTTTCTTATAGAGAAGAGCTGGACCAACTTGGAGTGCAATGAAAATGCTACCCGTGGCTTACGGCAGAACAACAATAAATAAATTCAACCAGATACATTTATTGGCCAGATACAGGGCAGTCTCTATCTTCTGTAACCCAAATACTTATTTGAGCTTCTTCCTCCACCCACCTTCTCCCCTGTTTCTCTCAGCACCTGCTGTGTTAAAAATACAGTTACACCCCTGAAAAGTGATGGATTTAAACTCTATCACTTTGTCAATAACCTTTAGATTTAAGATTGGCTCCCAAATGACCCCTGCCCCACAGGTCAGTAGTTAAGTCGCCCATTCTCTCCACCTCCTTTCATCACTCAGTCTTCAAAGAACAGAAGTCAGATCTGCCTTGCTTACACTACTTTAGCCATGGTCACTGCATATCATTCCCTAGCAGCAAAGAAATTTGGGGGAGCCAGTTAGATACTGGAAACTAAATTACTAAATGGTTCATGAATTGTATGCTTCTGAAACACATCAGTCCTGCAGCTTCTGCTTCTTGCTCAGAGCACTAGGATAGATCTTAGTATCCTAAAACAACTCTGTTTTAGAATTTGGCTGGGTCAGGAATCATGTGAGTCTCCCTCTCCTGTGCTCATTGTACCTTCCTCCTCTCTCATTTAGACTGAGTACAACTAACAAGGCTGCTGAGTACATGCCCCACCACAAAGTCTTCCTCAGCATGGGCAACACTCCAGAAAAAAACAAGGCACTATGCAGATCTAGTACTACGTTGTGCAGTGTCCAGTGTCAGGCCCAGTGTGTTCACATCAGCCGGCATTTGAATCCACTGCATCTCAGACCAAAACCCTGATTGTGGACCTGCCCTTCCCCTAACCACAGGCTGGACATCATTAGGATTCATGCATAAGACTAGAGAGTCCTTGCAAAATACAGTTGCAACATATTTCTTTCCTTACCCAACCCAAATATCCAACATCAATTATATCTATAGCCACAAAGGAGATGCTGAAAAAGTGGACATGATGAACAGCAGTCTGCACAGCAGGGTTGTTACTGCTGATGTGTGGGTTACTTTTAAGGACAGTGGACATTGCACATCTGGCATCAGTTCTCTCAGATTCTGTGATAGCTGAAGAGTGGCACTTGTGTCCTAGCACCCAGCCTCTGAAGAAAGCAATACTCATTTGACCTGAATTGTGGAGCTATATTCTTCTATAGATCCTGTTGGATATTGCAAGTAGGGGAATGTCTCACTGGGATTTCTGCATCACAAAGGCATGGGAGGACACCTCACACCCTCTGCACAGGTTAGGAGTACCATGGGTTGGAGGAAACTATGACTCTTTTTAACTTTGCATCATGCCTTTTTGTATCAGGAGATACCAAAGATGCTTCTAGAAGATACCACCTTAGCTGGTCTTCCTTGCAATATGGACATCCATATCCTCACCAGAAATTTATAAAAGGTGATCTTCACACAACTCTATTTAGCACTGCTAATTACAACTAGGAGACTCAGTAAGGGCCTTAAGACTAGGGACATTTTTGTCATTTATACTAAGGTTTTGCTGCTGCTGCAACATCTGTGAGACATTTTCAGCCAGCTCTAAATGACTTGGTACATCTACATGCCACAGGTCCCGTTATGTCACAGCACCACATTAACATGATTGTACACTGTTCACTTCTAGAAGAGGCATTGCTACATGATCCTCAGCATACTAATTTGGCATTACCTGCTGTAAGCAGAAGGTCCTCTCTAAGGTAGCATTGCCTTGCTTAGTATAAATACATATTTTGAACCTCACATTTGCTGATTTCATGGCTTTTATATATAATCTCTTGAGATGATACCTTTCTCAGCCACATATTGTGAAGAAATACATTTCTTGGTGTATCATAGAGCAATGTCAGGGTTGTGACACATCCAGTTAAGCATGAAACTGAAACTGGCCCTGTGTCCCAGCTATTTCCCATCCTTTCCTCCCCACTTCTACACCTGTCATCCTGGTTCTTCCTCTGCCTCTCCCAGTCTCATATTCAATTGAGGATAAGGTTGTTCCCACCAGAAAGAGCAGCTTTACATCCTAAGCTCCCGTCGATAAATTTTTAATTTTAAACATAGACTGCAATCAAAATCTGTAGGTTGTGCCTATCTGAACATCTCCAGATAACAAGAGACTCAAATCAGAGTCCAAACTAATACTTTAGGGTGACTTCTGCTTTTTAAAATGGAGTTGGTTAAAATCTTTTGAATTGTGAATATCTGAAAGACAAACACAATAGTGTTGCACAATGAAATTTTATTTATCTGTCCTTTTCAAGAGCTGGTTAAAATCTTCTTAACACATAGACTGAAATACAATTCAACCAAAAAGTAGAAGAAATCATAATAAACAAAGAATTCCCATCATTCTTCATCATCTGACAATGTTGTTTCTAACATCAAGACTCTGGTATAAGTGCTGAACAGTAGGGCGACACTCTACTGGAAATAACATTGTAATGTTTTTGGTACCCTCTACCAAGTGGTATGCAAATGTAAAGTAAAATTTTAGAGAAGTTTTAAAAAGACAAAGATTAGTTTCTTGAATAATTTATTTGGAATATATTAGAAGTTAAATAACATCATATAGCACAGAATGTGATCAGTTACACTGTACTTCATGATCATACAGATAAGAAATCCACAAAATTCAAAAGAAACTTGATCCCCACAAAAAACTCTTTGGTAGATAGATCTAGTAAAATACATGCTGAAAATGAGAGTAGGAAGCTCCTAAATGGAAAGGAGAACAAATAAATCATTGATATGAATCAAAGCAGTAACAGGAAGCGAAGATTTTTAAGATAGAAAACGTAACAAACAGGTTACAAAACTGCCAGTTTTCTTTCCCCTTCCCTGTACAATAACTCTGCTCACAAGATGTTTTGGCTTGCCTTGATGACATGTGTTCTCTAGAATAGCAAGTGACTGATAGACCAGATAGCACCACCATACCTTGCCCACAATTGCCCTGATTTACTTGGACTAATTTATCCTGCTGTAACTCCGCAAGTCAACAGAAAGATGGGAGGAGGACTTGGCTCTTCACCTTTGAGAAGCTGTCCAGAAGAGGCTGTGACTGCATTCAGTAACATTAAAGTGGGCAGAGACAAGGAGAAAGCAATACTGATTTCATGAACCATGCAAAAGATGCTTAGTGCATTTCCACTCAGCTGCTCTCCAGTGCAATCCTCAGCCCTGACAGCTCAGAAATGCAGGGATAAGCAAACTGAAGATTAGCAGTGTTCAGAAACAAAACTAAATCACCATGAATTCTTTCAGTTTTGGGGGTTTTTTTTTAATTTTTGTCAAAATCTATCCACTGGCACACCTGTACCTTACAGCACCAGCCCTGGACAGGGTCTGCTGTGTTCCTTGGTCTTTGTCAATGCACAGGACAGGTCAATACACACTTAGCAGAAGCCAGCCCTGGCTTCCTTGTGCACCTGGTGGTTGATGAGGCTTTAAAAGGCAGCTTAGCTTTGGATGCCAAATCCTCTCATGCCTGTACATGTTACATGCACAAACCCTATCTCTGCTTCCTGAAATAGCTCATTGCTACATGAATAAACAGAAACAGCCCAGGGACATGCCTTGGCACATGGGAGCTCCATTTCTTTAGCAGTGGTGAATAGCTGTCTTTTTTAAGCATTGACATGTACCTTGGTCCACATGGAAATCCAAAGTGGGAGGAGGATCTGACCAGAAAGCAGCTCTGCTTGAGCCTGGTGTAATTTCTGTTGCTCTAGGCAGCTTTAGAACTTGCATGAGCAGTCCAGACCTTTGCTGGCACAGATTATAACTCAGTCAGGAAATCAAACTGACAAGGGTCACCTTCATGAAACCTCTTTTCATCCTGCTTATAATCTAAACACCTACAGCATGGTGGTTGGCATTCCCTACAAAGAACCCAGTGAATCAAGCAGAAGGCATTTACACCCACTGCTTTGTCCTTGCTCTATCAGCCCATTTGGGATAGTGTCCAGATGGACGAACTTCAATGACAGCAAGTGAACGCAGGGACTTTAGAGGCAGTCAGCTGGATACACAGGCAGTGTGCCCCTAGTCTTGTTCATGGTCTTGGTACCCTATCTGGGGCAGACATCAATCCAATTTCAAGCAGCCCAGCATCACAGCACTAGGGTCTCACAGATGACAGCAAGTATGTGTGCAGCTCAGTTCTGCCTCCCACGGTAGCAAAAGCAGGGCTGGTTCAGGAACTCAATGCCTAAGACCAATGGCACACAGCCCTGTGCCAAAGGGGCACTGCAATGCACCAGTGGTGCATGTCCAGCACCTTCTGCCAGGATCAGACATGCTCCAGCTGCTTCTGCACATTGGCATGGGAAGGGGAACTGCTCACTAGTGTTTCCATGAAGGTTTTTACACTGCATCATTAAGGACTTTCTCTTGGGATCTCCCTCCCAAAACAAGACCTCCCCCACTGCTACAGCTACAGGAACAAAGATGTTTAGGGACCAACCTCTTTGATGGGCTTTTAAGGCGGCTGAAACCTGGCTGACCACCTTCATTCACATGCACACTGTCACTACTACAGAGGAGGTTTGTTCTGCATATTGAAACCACTGAAACTCATCTATGACTATGTCTTCTTTTATTTTAAAGTATTTTTGCTTTAGCCTAATGTTTAATTTTGCTTAATAGCATTTCATAATCCCTGGCACTAAGGATCCCTCCAGTCTGATGGAGAAAAGTGTAGCTAGGTTCAAAGGATAGGACCTGTATTTTCAAGAAAAAGAATCATGCTGGATATAAGATTCATAGGCTCAAGAGTGAGTGCAATTAGCTCCTGGAACCACTGGTGGAGGACTGTGGCAAATACCACTTCTCTCAAAATCTTGCACTACTGACATCTGTCTTGGACAAATTTTGTGGTGAGCTCAGTAGTGTTTCCTTTTCTTGAGCTCAGTAGTGTTTTCTTAAAATAACATGTGAGAATAATCTCTTTCCCTGCCAGAAACACTAGATGAATTTCGATGGCCTGATTTATGGAAGAGATGAGGGCAAAAGGCCCTTCTGGCTTTAACTCTACCATGGCAGCAGTGAGTTCTTCCCATTTCACAAGGACTGCAAGCTCTCTGTCTATTCTTCCAGGTTGTTAGCTGACAAAGAATTTCTTTTGTTGTTAATAAAAATGTATACCATATAAAACAATAATAAATATAAATAAATAATCACAATACATAGAGGAGCAACCCATAGATTCTGCAAAAAGAGGGGGATTATCAAACTAACACCAAGACCGCCTGTCTCATTATGACTCTGCTAGGGAGATGATGTCTCAGACCAACACTCTACTATATTGCTGCTCATGCCAGGAGAGGAAACACCACAGTTTTCGATCAGTGTCAGCTCCTCCATGCTTTGCAAGCTTGGGGCTTGCTGGAAGAACCCCAGGATGCTGCCCCGTGCTGCCACTGCTGTATGCTGCAGGCCTGGCTCTCCCAGGACCTTGACAAGGAAGTTGATATATCTCATAGCTAACCGGAGTGTCTCATTCTTGCTCAGTTTCTTGTCTGGTGGGTGCGTGGGAATGAGTTTTCTCAGCCTGGCAAAGGCACTGTTGACATTTTGCTGCCTCCATCGCTCCCTGGTGTTGGTGAAGATCTTCCTTGTCATTCTCAAGGTGCTGCAAAGCAAAGGAGATGGTGAGTGAATGCTAGACAGCCCTGGCTTTCACACAGGCTGCTGCTCTGGGGGCACTGTAACTTCTGGGCCAGCAACAAGCATGCAGTGGTGGTGCCAGGCATTTCTAATTTTTGCCCTTTGTGGCTGATGCCCTTGTCCTGCATGTCCTGTACAGATTCACCATAATCCCTAAAGTCATGTCCCCATTTTCAGCCATGATGATAAACACTGCAGCTGCAACCAGATGCCAGTAAGGACTTCACAAAGAAGTAAATGGAGTTTAATTTCCTCATATAACCATTTGATGCTCCTATGAGCCCAGCTTCTCCAGGCTCCTTAGAGTTCCCCTGCAGCAAAATTCCCAACAGACAAAGCATTAGACATCCCACCAGGCTGTGTGAGGGACACCTGGTCACTTTTAATAGGCAAAGGCAGGCAGGCCTAGGGTGGAACAAATCCATGCTTTCCCAGACCCAGTTCACACCTTCTTTGGGGCTGCTCCCAGCTGGCCCAAGCTTGGTGACCCACAGCTGGAAGCTGTGGTCACCTTCATCATGGGCCTTCAGTGAGCAGACAGGTGACACTAGAGACACATGTGATTATGGTTATTTCAGGAGATTTCTCCAGGGATGAAACAGTCTGGTTCCCTGCCCAGCCCACAGTGACTGCCCACTGCTGGTGGTGGAGACTCTTCAGTCTGATTCATTAAGGCTTCTGCTTTAGCCTCTGAGAGCTGCCAAGACTAGTCACAAAGTACCACGAGTGCAGGCTGCAGAGGGTAAGTGTGATTGTGCGATGCCTACAAAATGTGCAGGTATCCTAGCCACAATGTCTGCCTCACAGAGCTGAGCAGAAAAGGGAACCAAGTGCCCAGAGCAGACCTGACAACAGGAGAGGATTCTGCAAGGGGTGCACGGTAATTTTAAATGCCATTTGCCAGAAAGGTTGTCAGAAGCTCTTGGGATTTCCCTAATGCTTCTCTCACCACCACTGGAAAGTCTTCCCTTCTCTCCCACAGCCCTGCAGGAGACACTCATGTCTCTATTTCTGAAGCTGCTTTTTATGCCAGTGGCACACCAACAGTTGGATCAGGGAAAAACTATCCACAGCCAAGAGACTAAAGGACAAATATTTCCACTTAACCTCTTATGCATGTGAAAACCTCAGCTTTTTATATTCATTGGCAAGCTTATCTTTACAGCATTCCCACAGGGGACTGGGGAGCAAGGGGAACAGCACCCTTCAACTCCAGAAAGAGGAAACTTTAAGGTGACAGCCCAGCTATGATCCCGTGTCCATGTGAAGCAGCTTCATACTGTGCAAGACACTTGGGGTTCACCAAAGTACGTGGTAATAGTCTTGGTCAATAAATAAATGCCTCTGTGACTCAGGCTAATTGGGGTGCCCTGGCAGGGAGACCACACATGCATGGCAGGCAGGGAAGTTCCCTTCTAGCTCCTTCATGACCCAGTCCAGCACTGAGGACAAATCACCAGGGAAACACAGTTACAGCACTGTAAATTGTCAGAGCCGTGTTCAGAGACCTTGGTCAGAGAAACAGCTAATACAGATGTGCCCATGTATGCTATATATGGCTGTGCTCATGCTATCCATACCTTGCAGGCTCCTCTCAGCTGTAGCCCTTACAGAGCTAACACACTTATATTTTGGTAGAACTCTGAAAATACTGTTGTAATTTCTGTATTCTTGTAAAGATCCAGTTGTCTACCCTGCCTTTAGAGGACAAGAAAATTATCTCATCAAAATGTTCTTGCTTCATGAGAGGCTCGTTTAAAAAGCAAACCCTCATATTTCAGGTTACTGAGAATTTGTCATCATTTTTGTAGACTTATTTTGAGACCCATTGCTTGATCTGAATGGGGATTGTATTGCTCTTTTTTTTAAATTATTCTCCTACTCAATGTCTTCGTTTTGTTTTGTGCTATGGGAACAAATCTGCTTGGCACCTACTTGAAACAGCTCCCATGTAAATTTTTGGCAAGAACACTGTCGCATGAGTGATACAGACTTTAAACACTGAGTTCCAGAGCTCCTCTGTACTCCAGCATATTCACTCCCCAAGGCAAAACTTTTGCCTTTACAGTTTGATTCTTCCAAGAAGCTGCTTGGATCCATGTGAAATTCAGCGTGGCACCTGCTTCTCTCTCTCTCTCTCTCTCTCTCTCTCTTCTGTTTTTGGTGTTTGTGGGGGTTAAGACAAATTTAACAGTGTACAATAGGAGGGATTTTTCATAACATAGGGAAAGTTATTTGGGCTTCCTTGTTTCTTCTTGTTTCTTCTTGTTTCTTCTAATAGGTCAGGGGGATAGTATTTTGTCAGGCCTTTCAGTCTCTGCACTCTAATTCTGGTATGTGGGTTTGGGTTTGCTGGATGCCTGTCTACATCTCAACTACAAATAACCAACAGAGGGTCTCCTCCTTCTGTTCCTACTGCTGCAGACAGTCCCCAGTGCAGCACTCCCGGAAAGCAGGTTAGTATCCAGCCCGGGAGCTGTGAACACCTTGTCTTGTCCTGTTAGTGGTATTATTGGTGGAAAAATAACCCCAGCCTACTCCTTCACACCATGCTTTCTTTGTCCCTCTTCTCTCACCTCTGGAAAGGACAATAATACATTTGTGGCCACAAACCTTGTCAGCAAACAGATGCCTTTATGAAACCATCTTCTGCTTTATACTTCAAAAACATGTGTTTGTATTTCTGACATTTATTCAAGATCATCAAGCAACAGATAGTTTCTTCCCTCTCCCAGTGTCTCCTCTTGTGCTGATAGCTCTACTGGGAACATCATTTTAGGTGATTAAATTTCTCTCTCCTTTTCCCCTTTACTGGTCTGGGTTTCCTTTGTTGTGCTCAGTTTCAGCTCAAAACATAAAAATGAGCCTGGTCCAATCCTGCAGTAATGTTTCAGCACAGCTTCTTTTCTTGTATTGTCACCTACAGATCCCTCAAGTTCTCTGTAACCACAGCACCTTCCAGTTAAAATACAGCCAGTTTACTGACAGGAGATCTGATTTCCATTCCTTTTGTATCATTCTTTTCCTCCTCTTCCCTCCTTCTTTCCAACTCTCCCCAGCAAGCTTTGCTTTTGATATATTACTTGCAGCTTCAGGTCTTTGCTAATGTCGCACATCTGAGCAGTGTATTCTTCAGCTTTCTCTGGTGCACTGTATAAAATATGTATTGCCTAGTGCCAGTGTGCAGCTTATATCCTGATGGTCCATTTTAAATCTGTGCAGAAATCACCCGTTTGTACATATCATGAACAGTTAAATTGTATTAACCTGTACGCCTGAATTCTGTGCTGTCTGGTCACCTTCCCTACCCACAGATTTACAGTCTCACATTTAGCTGACAATAAAGAAGCCCAGGAAGACAGCAGCTTCAATTCAAGAGGATCACTTCTGGTCTCAGGAATGTAAATCTGGAGAGTTACACCATTTTCAATGGAAGAATTACTTTGAAGGGCAAAATGTTGCCACTGAAGACAGGATTTAGCTCACATCAACCAGAAGAACTAGGTAAGTGCAGTTTCATGAGCTAAGATCCACATCCACAGTGTGTGTGAGAAGAGTTGAGCAAAGAAATAACCCCAGCCCAGCAGTGAATCTGTTCCAACAGCCAGAAGAAGAAAAAACAAAATACCACCACCCACCAAACAGATAACTGAAGCTATAACTGAACTGCCTATCCCTTTGAAAAATAAAAAAAACAGGAGGTGGAAAATACTGGCTGTGGTTAATGCAGCCACAAGTGTCACCAGAGAAAAGACTAAACAATAGACAATACGAAGATCTGGTAGCAGCAGTTCTCACAGCCTCTCTATATAAGAGCTATTCAGGCAATGCAGGCAGCAGCAGCAGAGCAGTTTAGGCACAAAGCACCATCTGTGCTAGGACATTCCCCAGCAAAAGGCCCCTAAACCAGCGGTTAATGTGTGAGGGCTGGCAGGGGACTCACCAGGAGCCCAGCACTCAGTCATAATTAGCAGGTTGCTATTAAATAAAGATCTTGGATGAGAAAGTTCCTCCCTCAAGTTATACCTTTGACCTGGGTGAAGTTAAATCCATGCTGAAACTGGCCACTGGAGACCTACTTCTGCAAATCTTAATCAGAGAGCAGATGCCTGCTGCCAGCAAGAATTGGAGTGCTTCTAGTAAACCTGCAGTGCTCCACCGTTACTCTGTGGGGGAAACTCAGTGCCTGGTAAAACTGGTTATTTAACACACTGCATTGGATTTTGTGAGGTCCATTCAGCCCTTAAGTAAATGGCAACAGAAAAGCAGATGGTGACTGTTTTCTGTATCAGGCAGGTGCTGGTGAGCCTGATCTATCACAGGGAGCAAAGATTCCACATCTGTCGCTCCTTGCTGCTGTGTTTTGTTCACTTTGCATCAGTGTGATCTGGAAAAGAGGAGAAAGAGGAAGCTCATTGTTTACCTCTCTGGTTTCATGCGAGCCTCAGAGCACGGGACTCAGATCCATGCAAAGGGAAAGACTGAGCATGGAGCATGGATGTCACAAGACATTACGCTGCCTATCTATAACATGAATTCCCCCCGCCCCCCCCGAGGGAATAAACTCAATCTCTTTGCAGCTGAACCATGTGCTGTTTGCTGCATGGTTGCTTGGATTGCAAGGACTTCCTTTAGGTTGGGAGGATAAGGAACAGGAGAGGGGACAATGCATCCCAGCTTGACAGCCTGCAAAGAGAAGCAGCACACCTCTAGGCACAGGCTCTTACTTCCCAGCCTTCCTCAGCCCCCTTGCTCCATCCACACCTTCTTCTATCTTGGTGCTATACCCCTCCCCAAGTGCCTCCCAGCTGAAATCCCACAGGCTCACTGGTGGAAAAGGACACAGAGAGCAAGTGCAGTGCAGTGAGCTGAATGCTGGGCTGGCAATCAGAGAACTGAATTGTCCTCATTTCTGCTGTTTGTCTCAGGCAAATTTCTTTTCTGTTTTTTTTTTTTTGGGGGGGGGTTGTTTTTGGTTTTTTTTTCCCTCCATGTTCCTCCTGCCTGTAATTAGTTTGTCTCAGCTAAAAGGTTTGTGAAATGGAAAGCATTCTTGCGTGTATATGACAGAGCAGCCGCCAACACAGAATGGCCCAGCCTTGCATGACTTTTATAGGTGCCATGTTTGTGTAATGAAAGAGAAGAGCTTCTCCCAACACTTGCAGGGTAATTCCTAACACCAGCAGTGAACTTCATTTTATGTCTGATAAGATGTGGGGAGAGGAGCTGCTTCAGGAGTAAACAAGGGCTCCTTTCACTGCCTCATGCCTCTGCTAGGAGTGTTATCTGACAATCATACCACCGTACAAAGTACAGCAGAGCAGCAAAAGAGCTATAAAAAGCAGCCAGCACTGACAGACTGATTTACTTTTTTTTAGAATCTGTAAATCTGGGACAAAATGCACATAGTAGAATGTCTGCACTGGGAGCCCTCCTGTCTAAGGGCAGAATTTACAGAAACTCTCACAGCTATGCTGTGCTCTCATGGAACCTTTAGAAAAAGGAAATTGCTGGAGCCTTCAAAAGCAACTGTGTATAGGTCTCAAGCTCAAGTCAGCCTTCACGTTTAGCAATACTAGTCTATATGTGATGACAAGTTTTTCACTTGACCCAGTGTTGCCCCTGGGTTGCTTAGCTTTGTAATCTGGTTGCCCTCCTAGAGGGTGCAGATCTTTAGTGGGGAAGAGAGTGAGCTACTTTCTGAGAAATAAGCCAAGCCCACAGACTTCATATCCTGGACACCCTGGCATCATTGTCCCCCGAGGCTGCCTCAGGAAATGTAAGTCTGTAAAGCAATGGGCTGCCACCCAGCAGATATGTGGGAAAGCACAAAATGCATGTTTAAGAACTTAACAATAGTGATGACAAGGTTTACTCAAGGAAAGGTTTACTCTGCACATGGCAGGAGTTTTGTTGTTTTGTTTGTTTTTTTTTTCCCTGTGGCTCCCCTCGTCAATGCTTTTTATGTTCATTTGCAGTAAAGTTGAATAATACCACAACTCTGCACAAAACAAAGAACCCACTCAAGGGCTACAACAGCTTTTGCCAAATGGAGGTCCAGTTTATTGATATGGACGTGACAGCCTGCAAAGCTGGGAAAGGAACACTCTGCCAGGAGGTTTAGCCTTTATTCACTAAACTTGCACTAGTGTTATTTTCTGTTCAGGAAGATCTGAGAGTTTTTCTTGGAAAAGTGTTTCTCTGTCCTGGTCCTTCCTTCAGTAAGGCCTTCTTGTGTCAAAAGTCTGAACTACACTTCAGTGGGTTTCCTTTAAAAACAGTCTCTGACAAATTAACTTCCCAAATACTATATACAGACACTATTCTGGGGTTTCACGGTGGTCTTCCAGGCGTTCTTCAGGGACTCCTTTCTTCCAGACGCAGTGTGCAAAACCCTGTTCCACACAGATTCTTGCTCCCACCTCGTCAAAGCACTCATTCCTACATGCCTCCCTCTGCACCTGCCACTATGAGGCAGTAAGGTAGCTGTTAATAGCAGAAACGCGTCCATTTGCTTCAACTTCCGTGCCGTACCAGCATATGTAGCTGGAAATCTGTAAGGAGGCAGGAACAGACGCTGTCTTGCAACTCGGCAAAGACCGGTCTGCAGCAGCTCACACTGCTACAGGAGTTGTAGGGGGCAGAGAAGGGAAAATCTAGTACTTGCAGCATTTGTATCTGCATCAGAGGGAAGGGTAGATTTTGTATTATGTTTGAATATGACCCTCAGACAATACTTGCCTTTGCATTTTATCCAGGTCTGCTCTGAGGCTGATAGTAAATCTCCCAGTGACTTCAGGAAAAGCAAGACTGAAAGTCTGACAGTATCCTAATAGTGGCATGTAGTGCCCTGTCTTCCTACCAAACACAATTTAAAACTAGTCTACTGACCACAATGGCATCACCCCAGGAATTAATTGGGTCTGGTGTAAGACTAGAGGTCACCATAAGCATTGAGAAACATATCCACCACTCCACCACAGGAAACTGTAACTTCCAAAAGTGTGATACAAACCACTGCAAGACAAGGACCACAATCCTAAATTTCCCCTAAAAATGGCATGCCACTAAACCACCGTGGGGCTACACTTGATAGAAAGATCAGCAAGAAGATCATCCCTGCTTCAACCACAGTTTCTTGGGCACTTGCATGTCATCCCCAAGTCACCTGGCATACTGACTCTGTGAGCAATTCATTTCTTAGCTGCTCTGATCACAACTACTTTAATGATTTACGTAAGCAGGCAGTAATACCAAGCTGCATTTATTTTAGTTATTTTTTTTGTGAAACAATATAGAAATGCATGGTGGAAAAAGGTTCTAAAAATTAAATATTATCCTATACTGTTATATGGAAATCAGGAAGGATAGAGCTACTTCAGACAAATCCTTGTTTTATTGCTTAACTTTCTCAGGCAAATACAGCTTTATGCAGAAGGCATATATTATTGGAAATATAAACATGTTATAGATTGGCAGTTTCAAAAGTCTTTTTAAAAATCTAAGACTATTATTTCTTGACAGAACTGAAATTAATAGAATTGCTAAGCTTTTTCTTCTAAGTGAATTATGGAACTGAACAAAATTCAAATACCTATGTATTTTACATATGCATCAGATGTAAGACAGACCACCAGTAAAGTAGTGGGGATATTTTTATATATGTGAGGTTTGTAATTTAAAACTTTACATCTTTACCTGTTGACACTGTCACAGGATTTCCACACAGTCTAGTGCATAAGCATTCGGTAAAGTCTAACATACGCATAATTTTGCGTATTTTGTAAATAATTTGTTTTAAATATCAAACACCATTGAAGAATTCTGTTAAGTTTTAGTTCTAAACTCAGAAAGTTGATGATGCTCTGTGTAATCATTTTGCACCAGTGCAATAACTGATTTACTGCACTTTGGTGCAGTGGTATAAGTGAGTTTGACTAATGTGTAATTACACAGTTATGATGTAAGAAAATCTAGGAATAGCTGGAACAGTGCTTTTAAAATCACATTAGCTTGCTCCACATATAAGCATCAACATTTCTTTAAAAAGTAGTCGAACCAATGAATAATTTCTCCCAACATGAGGTCTGATTCAGTGAGTCTCTGCAGATGCTAGGGAATAAAGTCCAGGAACAAAAGTAGGGCAACGTGGTTACTTTGCTTGATTACACGCAGCCACCTGTAAGCAACCGTTTCTATAACTATTCTGTTTGTCAGATCAGGTGTCTTACTCTTTTTGATGACAAGATCCAGGAGTGCCATAGCAAGAAATAAAAATCCAGTGGATTGTTAAAGGCTATTGCAGAAATTCCTTCCTTTAAGGATATTCCCTGCTCCAAGAGGAAACTTTGGCATTCCTAAAACAGTTGCAGGATAAGCCCAAAAGAGGCAACGCTGTAAAGAGAAGAGGCCATTGTCACTTACTTTGCTGGTCACAAGTGCTTCTGTTTCTTGAAACCTCGTCAGCGAGCGAAGAGACAGCAAAATCAGATGATTGCTATTTTTCTTTCCTCGCTGTTTTTGCGGTGCCTGGCCACAGAGCTTGCTCTTGCTGGAGTCAGCCTAGCGCTGGTCCTGGCTGCTCATTTATAGAGTAGCAGGTCCTTTGTCTGGCGCGTGTCACCACTAGTCCTGGCAATCCAGGGAGCTTGTTTTGCATCTCCCAGGAGATTCTCTCTATCCTGCCTTTTCTTTTCTCACCACATGCCCTCTGCCCTTTGCTAAGGCTGGTATGGGGTGGTAGCTGAGACCATGCTTACTAGCCTTAGAGCTGCTCCAGCTAGGTGAGGTGCACTTTGCAGGAAAGCATGGAAGCGGCTCATGGCAAGAATCAATTTTTTTCTTTTTTTGGGAGGATTTTTTTTTAAATTTATTTAGTCAGCTCTGAGCTGGTAAATGTTTCCAGAGACAGAGATGCAGTGTTCATTCAAAAGTCAGTTTTAAATATGACTCAGTACTGATAAACAGTCTGTGTATTTATTGTTTCCCTAAGCAGGAGATACCCTCTTTGCTCTGACAGTAAGTGCAGCGTAGGTGTGGGGGTGACCTTGTGCAGGCAAATCGATCCTGCACTGCCTTTTTTAGTGAAAACTCCCTTTCACTTAGACTCACAGCTAGCAGCTTCTGCAGGCTGGAGGATAACTACAACTGCTGCAGTCCCAGCCCTGCCCCAAGCCTTGCACTGGCCCTTTGACTGAGTCCACGTGACAGTAAGAGGCTGCAGGTGTGAACTCACACATCTACCAGCTTGCCCTTCACTTCAGGGACCATGTAGTGCACTAAGGGTAAGTTTAATTCATGCTTCTACAGCAAAGATGAGTCAGCTCCCTACCCCTGTGGCTAGGATGCAGGGTTGGTGAAACAGACTTCTTTCTCTGCTGCTGGGGTGGCCCCAGAATTTCCTCTCAGCTCAGGAACAATGGGCAAGCAAGCTGACATCTGACTGTAAAACCAAAAACCTGCAGATTAACACCATCTCCACCACTGGAGCACACGCTTCTGTGTCCATGACAGAGATCAATCCACCCAGACTCACCCTGTCTCTGGGTAACAACTCCATAGGTGAAACACTGGAACAGGCTGCCCTGGGGTGGATGCCCCATACCTGGAACATTCAAGGTCAGGTTGAATAGGGCCCTGAGCAACCTGATCTAGTTGAATATGTCCCTGCTCATTGCAGGATGGTTGGACTAGATGATCTTTGGAGGTCCCTTCCAACACAAACTATTCTATGATTCTATGTTTTTATGAAAACAGTCACAAAATCACCCCAGGTGTAAGCCAACAGGGGCATAGCCTTGTTACAAACATATATGGCCTTTGGGACCCATACAACCTCATCTGCACCATCATCCACTTGTCCATTAGGTGCTGGGAATTTGCTTCGGGTGGAAGTAAGAGTAAATAAGGGAGAACAAGAGCAAGATACCTATTGATGCACTGAGAGTAACAGGATACTAAAGGGGAACAAGTGATGGAGAAGGAGAAGCCCCAGCTAATCGCTCTGCTACAGTCATGGTGCAGGAAAATGCTGGCATCCAGGATAAGGCAGCTTTCAGCACACTCCACCACTTTCCTCTGCAAACTCCAAGAAAGCCCAGTCCTTATGCAGACCCCCTCACCCAAATCAGCAAGCTGACTAGGTAGGGCTCAGCTACTTTTTTTTTTTTTTTTAAATTTTAAAAGCACTGCAAATGTTTCAGTTAACAGGATTGCCTCCATAAATATTAACAACCCAGCAGTGGAATGATGTAGTTGCTCTCCGGAGACAATGAGCGCCAGGTCCCGCCAGGGCAAATTGTTCCTCACACAGCTCGGTTCAGCCCTTTCACACGGTAAATTAACAGTGGCACTACAGCCTGAAAGATTTGTCAACTGCTTCATTTAGCACAAGTGTTATGTTAACTAAAGGCCCTATTCCAGAGGGGCCTTTGGCCTCACAGAAGCCTAATTTCCATGTAATTTACATTGGAAAGTTGCAAGGTTCCCCTCCTCCCTGTTACTTCCTCCAATCCATTATTTACCCAAAATCTTCTCTGAGATGCTCCAGTCAGTATGAAATGGTAAGGAAGGGGGCTTGCCAGGCCAGAAAGGGGAGGGAGCTGCTGCTCTTTATCTGTAACCGCGTGGATACTTCACTGCTTAGGGCTTTCAAAAGCTAGTTGGACAAAACACTATAAAATATACAGCCATTAAAGTGTCTGTCCTTGCAGGGAGAGGGGCTGTATGGGCTGCTATTCATTGTCCCTCATGTATCCATGCAAGAGAGCTGGATCCTGCTCCTGCTGCTGTTAGGTACAATGGCAAAAAACCTGCCTCACTGGGGAAACATAAGGAGAAAAAGAGACAATGTAGCTCCCTCCCATGTACTTCAGTAAAGCCACCACCACATCTGTTTAGTGTTTCAATCACATCTGTTGAGTGCTTCAGTCACATCCCATGGACTTCTCATCTTCCTCCTGTTGTAGAAACTCTGCGACAGCCTAGCTGAGTGTGCAACCCTAGCACCTGGGAGGTCCTCACCTTCCCCTTGCTGTCCTGCTCCCCACTGTACCCTGGCACCCTGTGGCCCTGACATCTTTCCTTCTCTGAGAGGCCACCACAGCAAAGCTCTGCATCTGCTGCAAGCACAGCAGCACTTTCTCCTGCACATCAGGCCGTGGGTAGGAGGTCCCAGGTGCTTAGCAATCACTGCTGTCAAGTCATTAGGAATGCTGATGAGATGACATAGGGATGCTGACTTTTCTACCAGCTTTAAGGCTCTTTTCCACCCTGTCAAACATGAGGGTCTGCTTCACTGTCTCTCTATTAAGCTTCCTATTGAACTGTGATTACTTGGCACCAATGAACCACACCACTCTCATTCAGCTTCCTCTTCACACTTGGCAGTGAGATGGCAGCAGGGGGAATACATTATCAATACTTCCCTGCAGTCCTGGGATTACTTCTCCCTAGAGCAATCCATAGCTGCCAGTATAGTATAGCTCAGCCAAGGGAACAAGAACAGTAAAAGCAATATTGCACCCTGGGCATGCTTGTCCTCACAAAATTTCTGTCAGGATCCATCCTGATAGTTTCCTTAGAGTCTGAGGCAATTCTTTATCTGCAACAGGTCTGGTTTTTAACAGCCACCTGTCATGAAAAGTCAAGGGGAAACAGAATACATTTTGTAATTTGCACTCTGCCTCCAGACTGCAGTTGATATTATTATCATGTTTGCTGATGTAATGGCGTATTTTCCCTCCTTAGATACTTCTCTCAGAAAATAGAATCTCAATGCCCTTACAGCACTCAGAAGAAGAGGAGGGTGGGAAATACTGCATGTGCAAACGGGGTTACTAGGGACATACAGCTGTTGTGTCTGCAGATGCAGAAACCACTGTTTTATTGCAGCAGTGTTGGCAGGCCCCTGCTGAAATGCAGACCCACTCTGCCAGGTAGATATTCATTCCTTCTAGCTGAAAGACATTCCTCAGCAAGTTTGATCCAACAAAAGCAGGGAGAGAAAAGAAAACATAGTCTCTGCCCTCTCATGTGTAAGAACCGAGGCTGAAGAGGAGAACAGGTACGGACCCCTTCCAGAGGACACTGTCCTTCTCCATTTCTGCTATCAAGCCCAGCATTTCATCCCACCAGAGGCAATGCTGAACTCACATTTAGTGCACCCACTTTCTGAAGAGCTACACTTCAGTCACCTCATCACTTTGTCTTAGTACCACAGGTATCAGTAACAGATCTGGATGAAGCAACAGACTGCCTACGTTATCAGTCATTTATGCAACAGCATTTACACATATGGCTCTGCAAAGCAGAAGATGTGAGAGTTGGCCACTTGGAAGAAGCCAAGAACATGTGGGTGGTTGCAAAGTGTGAACATCCTCAAAACCGGGTTTCTCATGTTCCTTTTGGAAATTCAGCATGCCAGCATTTAAATTCCAACTCCTGAAACATCCTAGGGGAGTAATCCTAGTAATTCCTCTTCCTAAAGGGAAGAAAAGCTGTTCCTGGCATATGTGAATGTGTCGTATGCAGGCTGGAGCAAAAAGCTTTATCCTGCTGCTATGCAGCTTCCAGGACCAAAAGAAGCCTCTCCAAGATAGAGTAATGGTCAGATGGGGAAAAAAAAAAAAAAAAAGTTTCTGTTCCATGCTGGCCAGACCTCAAAACCTGTCTTTCTCCAGCAAAAATCTTACTGCAGATGAGCAGGAAATCAAAGAGAATCCTGCCTAAATATGGGCAGAGATTTCAAAAGATGGATGTGGGTTGAAATTATCTTTCCCCTTTTGTGAGGTGACCCCTTTCAGTTGGATGAAAGCAGCACACAAAAAGTGATGGACAGAAAAAGGACAGCAAGAGGCTGAAAACACACAGCCACATTATCTCTAGGAGTTCAGAGCCACGCTCTATAGATGGCAACAGTAAGAAGCAATTATACACATCTGGGCTCCTGCCCTTTAAAATCAAAATTTAGATCAATACATTTTTAATATAGTGAGCTGGAGGAGGCTGCTTGAGGTTAAGAGCAGCAGCTGCATGCAGACTGCTGAAATATTAAATTTCCATCATCTGAAGCTTTTTGTAACATTCTGAATCTCTTATTAGTGTTAACAAAACACTCACATCAGGGGGTGCTTTAAATTCTGGCCACATTTTTCAGCTTAATTCCAGAAGCCAAAAATCTCCTCTTTTTTAATGCTGAAACTTGCTGATAGACTTCAAGAAAATGTTTAGCCACAGAAGAAAGAGACTGAAAACTTAATGTTTCTCTAAAACTTCCACTGGGAGCAAGAGAGAAAAGACAAACAGCTCATTGTCCCTTTGACACAGATGTACCTAGACTTTAAAAGTTCTGTGAAAATCATGTAAAATAGAGAAAAACAAGGCAGCTATCTCAGAGAATCATCAGCTGCTACTTTAATTAGCACACAATGCTGAGCTCAGCCAGGCTGCATGCAGCAATAAGGTCACCACATAAGCATCACTCAAAGCAGGGATTCAAAAAGATGTGGAGTTGGATATAAGAAAAACCTCCTGGTCAGATTATA